CATTTATACATATAAATGTTCCAAATGGAAAATTTCCTGCGAGTATAGCAATTGCTAAACCATTCGTAGCAAAAATCGAGTCATGGGTATCACACGTCGTTGCACAGATCCCATCCACGTGCCCTCGCCTATGCAAACGCAGTGCACGGAAGAAACGAACGGGTGGGACCTTGCACGAATGACTAGTCATCGAATCATTCGCACAGTAATCATCTGCACGACTAGCATTATGCACGTGTCTCATTCAACTATAATGCAACATACGTGTCTGCGTTCCAATGCTCGGGACTGTTTTCGTAAAGCTGTGACTAAATCGGAATTATTCTTCGTTCAAAAACCGCCGATACGTTCCGGTTGTTGACCGTTTACTTATCAATTCCAATTGGGAATTGATAGCTGGTCACGCGGAGGTACGTGCGGACACGGTTAATATAGGGGCACGCGTTAAAACGCGATTGTGCTTGAAAATTGATTAGCCCATTCATACTTTCGGTTTGCCCAACTCATTCATAGCTGCATGTTTGCCTCATCGTTTACCACGACTTAATAACATAAAGATGAATGTTCCAATTCTCTTCAATTGACGTCACAATTTCTATTCCTAAGTCTGCATATACAATCCTAGAAAAACATGGCGGTGAGTAGAAATTCATTGAACCAATCAGAAACGACGAAGGTTTGTCATCTGAATAAATCTTCTTATACTTTTGCAACAATGGCAATAAAAAGAAAAACTCGTGTTCAACGATATGTAATTTTTGACTCGATTAGAATTGATGATTCACAAAGTGATGCACCTCGTCCTGACTCACTAAGTTTATTTTAAGAGAACATTTTATCACCTGCGCATTCAGTATTTACGCGTCGTGTTCTCAACTACTAATGACACTCCATCAGTTGTAACAAAGGAGTAAAGCACCGACGTTTCCGTTACTTAGAACGATTCTCGAAACGTTACTCTTCACGCTTGTCTCAAGAAGCAAACAGGCGCGTCGTACGTACATAGTTCGAACAGAGGACGGTACGTACGAGCCCGTACGATAAAATATTAAAATCCGAAGAGACGATGCACGCCTGTTAACCCTCGTATACCATTTCGAAATTAGACAACGCACCGAACGTACAAATCCCGATATTTATGGGCCTATACCGGCGCAATTATCTCGGGCTAATCTCCTCTCTTTTAGTGTCATAAGTTCTGTTAGTTTTCAATTTGCACGCGCGTGAAACATACAGCCGAACGGTAAGTATGATAGATGCGTAAAGGCAACTACGAATATTTATGCTAATTTCTTAAGCCGGCTGATAGACGGGCTCGCGGGGGGGAACGCGGATAAAATGTCTGAAACCGTGACAGAAGAGAAACAGGGAACACATCGATCGTTGTCCACGGATTATCGTCGTAATTCTCGCGTACAAACGAGTCAGGCTCGCAGTTTTGCTCGCGATCACGCACCTCGAGATACGCCTTTGATATCGTCGAGTGCACGCACTTTTTTTGATTCCTCGCTGTCGTAAATCTCGTTTTAAAAAGGAGATGAATATATTTAACACGGCTTACTGGCACGTCAGTGCACTTGCAATAAAGTATATCTCGCCATTTTCAAAGATCCGCCATCTAACGTCATTCACACTGCCAGAAAGCCGAAACAGGGGTTCAAGAATTGATGAGTACTTCAGATTGATAGACGCCGTAACGTCCAAGGCAAGTTTGAGTCTGAAGGTGGCAGCTTGCCGTCGGATCCGCGTCACTTATTATGTACACTAAATTCGGTTTCGAATTCTTCTTTCACTTATTATATCCACTAAATTCGGTTTCAAATTCTTCTTTCACTTATTACAATTAAATCTTCTACAATTTGTCTTCAATTTGAAACAACTTTCACTTGTTAATAGAAATATATAGAAATATATTTAAAAATTCACTAGAACTTTATTAGAAGATTACTAGATTTTTTATCCTTAATAAAAATTACATTGCGTGTGACTTTGAACGGTTAAGGAATTATAGGAAATCGAAAGCTGAATTATTTAAGACGTAATGGACAAATAAAAGACGTCCTCGTAAGCATCGACGCTCGGTCGCATTCCGGTCCGAGTAAACGGAAGCGTCCCATTGATGACAAGGATAAACGTAGAACGCGAAGGTCGTACGACGTAAGGACGTTCGAAGTCAAACAAAAAGATCGACTTGTCACTGATTGCCGGTGACGCGTCGGTTAATCGACAAACATTTATACTCGACGAACTGTGCAACGAGTCACGAACAACAATCGAAAGTATGTAATTTCGTTTTTAAACCGCTCGGAATAACGTATCGTTGCATGCCTGGCTTACGCCGGTTGCGGTTCGGAGCACCGAGTATATAAAATGCTTGTACAAGCTTGTACGAATGAAACGCGATATCGGCGAAGCGGAATTTCACCGGGAGACAGTAGTCGGTACACGGAGATAAGGTTCCCGAGAACGGTTTATCAGAAAAATTGACAAACCTAACCTATTAGACTGTGCGAGATGTATGTTTTACCTGTCACGCGTTCTTATTCTCCTCGGCGAGTTTCGTCTCACTCCGTGCAACCTCGACGGCCTTCTCGGCGACACGCTTGAACATTATCCCTTTAGCCAGACACGGTTTGGTTTTCTACCTTTTTCGATGAACCACTGTACACTGATTAGATACACTGAGTAATAATAAGTGACAATATTGTATGAAACGGCTCCCGCACTCATGTGATCACAGAACACACGCGCGCAAGTACTCCCACTCGACACAAGTATCGTTCGGCGAACTGACCCAGACTGTGATTCAGCGCGCTGGAGAGAACCGCGACGGGTCGTTCCCGAGCGGCGTAAACGAGCGAACCTGCCCGAAGATGGACGAGCCGGCTCGAGTCGGGACGGACGTGCACGAGCCTGTCCGATCAAGCATGCGCCAGTCGAGTGCTTATCCGACACCACGCTGCCTTCGTGGTTCCTAGGGGTGTCGCGTGACCACGAAGTCGCGAAACACTATACTGTCTGGCACGAAGGCTATTGCCGTTATCTTTTTTCTTTAGCTCTTGATCGTGAGATTTACCATAGGCCATAGGCTGTAGCGGAGAAACGAGACCGATCGTTCGCCTCCCTTCACTCTCGATCTTCCTCCGAACCGTGAACCTCCTTCATTTCAATCGCGAATACCAATGAACCAGATAGAAGTGCGAAATATTTCCGTAATGAGATAGGTGGCGGTACATCGTGACGAGTTATCCCACCGAAAGTAAAACCACGTAACCGTGGGTTTTCCTCTTAATATAATCGAGATGCGCGTTCTCACGTATTTTTCTGTCGCTAAGACTAACTATACACGGGAGAGAAAGCTCGCGCCGAGGCTTCGATGGAATGCATACCGTAGGCCGTAGGCAGTAATCCGCCCGCGCTCTCGCGTTCGAGTCTCGTTTCGACTTGACGAGAAGGATACGAACGTAAACGCGCGTGCCAGAAGAGCGTGGACCGATGCATCCTGATTCAACGATCGAGCATAGATGGTATATAATACGGAATACGAACAGAGCGTACCTACACCGTGGTCTACGTTCGTCGTTCCAGACCGCGAGAGCTGCTCGCCTTTATAGATCAAGGTGTTACGCGATACGAACGTGTAACGTGATACATCCTTCAACACGAAGAAGCGTATGTCGGAGCACGGGTCTCCTGGACTCTGGACATCGAGAAACTTTGTCGGGTCGCTCGCGCGTCCACTGGTAGAATATCGCTTTTCTTTCCTACGGTTGTCTCGCTCTTTAGTACCCTAAGTTTTAACTTATCAGAGAGTATATAGCGTGATTAATGGCGATTACGACGGCGTTTAAACATGGACATCGATCAGTGGACGATAGGCAGATTTCATGTGAAACACGCCATTTTCTTTTTTTGATAGGTTACCGTTAGAGAGCACCACGCAACGACCACTATATTCTCAGAATGTTATTATCACAACATCCGTCTCGGTCGTTGCATCTGATAAGATACGAAGGCGTATGCCGCCTAAAGTCGCCCGACTGAGTGAAAACTGGATCTCCCTTCTCTCTTACGCTGAATTTGCTTATAACACAGAAATTTTAACTCATCAAAGAGAATCGTACAACACAACGGCTGTTTCGCTGGAGCATGTATTATGAAGAACATCTAGAAATGAAGTTACAGTGTTAATGCCAACACGTTTACACACCCATACTTTCACTATGGCGAATGAAAATATTCTTTGACGTACTACGAATTCAAAGAATTCCAAGAATTTGGCACGAACGCTATTTTTCTCATATCGAATATTTCAGTACGACTTTCTCGCACGAACTTCGAATACTTCTAACATTCCTTTCTCTCGACAAAAAAACATATAAATTATTTAAACGTTCCCCTTTTTTTCATACTATATTTTATCTTCATTTTTCACTACCACCAGAGAGAGAAAATGGTACAAAGGGAATGCAGATGTTGCGAGCTCACGAGAAAGTTGTTTGGCATATAAAATTGCGTGAAACCACGACAAGAGATAGAAAAATGCTCGTACGGTAAACAACGGTGGACGGGCGAAAAGGGGCTCGTTTAAAGTGACCAGAGCCAGCTTTTGTGCACGTCTCGCGTGAGCCTACCTGTACAACGTATCAAAGAGAGCTCGGCCGGAGGAGCGGAGGTTGACCGACGAAAGAGAAAGGAGCGTGAAAACGAAACAGAGAAAGAGAAGGAGCCGGCCACTGCGGGATAGGTAAGAGCGATACGCTCGTTGGCCGGTTCGGGCAAGGCTGCTGGCAAGGAGAACCAGGGCTGTAGTTGCAAATAAAACCGCCGGGCGTTCTCCCCGGTATATAATAATAGACTAGTTTCGATAAAATACACACGAATGCGTTTAACCGCTCTTCCAAATACTCTAACCTAACATTAACTATCGATCTTCAACAATTCTTATTTATTAACACTTTGCGGACGAATGTCGCCGCACAAGCGACATCTTATTTCTATTCGCTAGGTCGAATGAAAAAGTGCTCGTCCGCAAAGGGTTAATAGCAGTAACTGATAGAATATTGTGTGTACTTTTGGTGCCTATTTCTTCATATATCTCTCAAAATCCTACTTTCAAAATTGATTTTCGTGCTCTTTCTGTCGAAATACTTCTTCTTCAAGTATTTTCAAGCGAAATTGATGCATTTATGCGATACAAGTAGACTTACAACGGTTAAAGACGTTCCTCAAAAGGGTGCAGCAAGTTTACTTTGATTTGTTCACTTTCCAGAACTTGTTTTCACAGAAATGGATATTATTTTCATAAATTCAAACTTACCTAGTTTTTTACCTTTTCATGAAAGAGTTTCTTTTATTACACCGAAGGACTTAAAAAGAAGAATCGTTTTTTAAAGAAGCAAAGTCAGCCATAATAACGCTGTTACTATTATACAGAATTGCTTATCCATCGAAATTGCCAGCAAGCGGAAAAACAAAGTGAAACACGTAATCGAGTTAACAGCATATATTTTCGATGAAGATACGAAACTGGAACACGTCCCAGCCACGTTAGAATAATAAGGGTAAGAAAAAAAAAAATAGGCCGGTGCATACGATAATGAAAACTGTTCCACGCTTTCACGATAAGTGCTCCTCGGCATTAATCATACCCGACGCTCCTACTGCATCGAATCGATTCGTTATCGAAGTCTCAAGGCACTCGGCACGATTTGTTTACGTCCCAAGTTCGACTCACGCCGTATGACACGAATTTCACTTGGAACAGGAATTTATGATCGGAATTCCGAAAGAATCGTGACGTGACGATTAGGAAAAAGTGAGAAATAATTTCTGGAAACGGACACGTTGTGACGCATTTCACGACGCATAGCAAGCGTCATATGATTAGGAAGTGTAACGTGAGGAGCGATCCTAGCTCGACAGAAGTGTGGCAAAATATCTTACAGCCCTGGGTACGACTCTCCGTTTCGCTGTATAATTCTGAGACGCGGAATTCTGTGTTCATTCCTCGCTACGCAAGTATCCGAGCACCGAGGAGTATCAGCTACAAAGGAACTCCAAGGACAAAAGGATAGTTCGCGCTGTACATTGACACGAGCGTACAGCTTTCGTTAGATCCGAGCCTGAAATTGCCGAGTCCGAATTGCTGTTGGGTGAAAATAAAACGCAACGTGTCGCGTCAGCGAGTAGGAAAACCTGGGCTGAAACCCGGACGGGGAAAGGATTCGAGGAGAAAATAAATCGATGAACAGCTAGTGCCCCCCCGGAGCCCGGAGGCTCAATTAATGAAATAATAATGTGGAGCACGCGGGACGACCGGAGGGAAGGAGTTCCGTTACAAGATATCGGGTCGGAATTTAGCAAACAACAATTATCTCCGTTCACTCGTCCGTAACTTTCTCGTTGTCGCGGCGTTGTCTCCTACCTCCGGTAACTAATTCTCATATCACAGATGGTACACACTAGTTAAAACTTCGTACCGGGGCCGCCCACCCCGGCTCCGTCCAGACGAAGTTCATTCGGGCTTGACTTTCAATGATAGCGGAGCAACCATACCGGCAGCCGGAGAGAGGCATTCTGAAACTTAGACAAACGGTGACCGACCCAGAAGCGAACTAGTTGAGTCAACTGACCTAGAAACATCGAGAAACAGGGACCGGCGAAATACAGTCGAGGGAGGCTCGACGAGCCGCTCGGACTGGCTTTTGTCCATCAAGAGATGGAATTCAGTTAGCAAGATTGCTCCGCGCTTACCGTTCGATTTCCTCTCCCGGAAATTGAGAAGAATTTCGAGTCGATAACGAGGTCGAACGGTGCCAACGTACGCCGGCCGCTGCTAAAGCCAGGCGCAGGGGAGAGGCCATCGTGAAAATTGATATCTTTTGCCAGGGATTACCGGAGGACTTATTAAGAGAGCATCGGGATGAGGAGACCCGAAAGAATTATGCAGCCAAGTATAAAACGCGAGTTACCCGAAGACCAATCGTGGCAAGAAGGTAATGAAAGAAATTCACGAGACGCGTTCGGCAAAGCGAGAGGAAAACGAGAGAAAAAGAGCGAGAGAGGTCTGGAGAGATTCCCCGGTCTAAAAAGGTATCGTCTGGAAAGTTCAATAACTCGCGTCTTATTCGGACTAATCCAATAATCTTGATCAACGACATGTGATATGACTCGAAATCACATCAGGCTGAACGTAAAAGAGGGAATCTATTTCTCTATTCCTGATCATCGAACATCCACCATTCTACAAACGAATCGTCCATGCGTGGCGGTGCTCTAGAAACCCGAAACTCGCGCATCTGTCGGACATTGCAAGTTGAATTAAGAATCATTACTGTCCGATGTAAAACGAAGCGATAACGATTTGATTACAGAAGCTTTCCGTCACAAATGTTCAAAATCTTTGATCCAGATCCACGACCCCCCTGTTCCTCGACGAATCCATATTCAACGCAGTGCTATCTCCATACTATTTCATTCTAGTGACTTCTGATTTTGATTCTGACAGTGACAATCCGACCTACGATCTTAAAGACTATACAATCGTGGTTTAACCCAAACGCTAATCCTAATAGTTATAATTAACCGTGTAATTAACCGATATCCATTACAGTTTTATTTTATAAAAATTATTTGATGTCGACATTGCCAACGTGATGAGATGTACACCCAAAACAAGCCTAGTGATCTTAAATATCACTGACCATGCCTATCATACCCCCACCAAGTACTAGTTTCCACCATGATTGTGTGTTGCCCACTATACCCTCATAAGGGATTTTTCTTAGCAGCCCTAGTGGGCCCATC